TAAACCAGTGCCCCTTAGTAAAGTAAAGAACAGTGAACAGCCCAAAGTGGCCTGCTGCTAGTCCTGTAGTTTTTTGGAAGCATTATGTTTCATATTAACTAATGCAAAGCCTGCTTTCCATTTAGCAATATGCCTGAGCTTGTTTTAATAGAAAAAAAATATACATTTTGCTTGCTAAATTGTCAAAGAAAAACAAATCTTCTGGAACATGTTTATGCTATGACTTCTGGTATCCCTAGGATACTTCACTATATATTGCTAGAAATATTCATACCTTAGTTCAACAAGTACAGAGTTAGACATTATTGGAAAGTAACAGTATTGTCTTTCCTCACATGCCAGGTTGTTTCAATCACATACAAGTTAAAAATTTAAAATTAAATTGATTAATTCAATCAAATTGATTGTCTCAGTAATTATCTGGGTAAACTTAAGCTCAAACCACAGATGAATAACCAGGATTAAATGGCTATTTATTACTCTGTTGTATGGATGAGGGAGAAAACAGACTAAATGATATTACTATATGTAGAAAAATCCAACATATGATATATTTTTGTCAAAGCAGCCTAAGTTTTTTTTTTTGGAACTAGGAGATATATGGATAAATAACACATACAAACATTAAATGACTGGACATTTACAATAATGATATATAACTAAAATTTGTTTGATTGAACTAATGATCTAAGAGCTGCACTAAAATTGAGGGTCTGCCTTTCCCTCCCACATTTCTTCTCATTTGTTCTCTTTGTCTTTAAAATCACTTAGGAAGGGGGTTTTACCACTTTTTATTTGTGTAGAATTCCTAACTTTGTATAATCAGTGATTACCTTTCTCCTGAGCCCCAGAATAGCATATTCCACTAAAATATCTTTAAGATACTTAGGAAGTATCTTGAACTTAACATGGTCAAAGTAAAACTCTCCTCCCCATTTCAATAAGTGGCACCACAAACTACCCAGTCACCAAAACTTCAAACCAGACATTGTTTTTGATATTTTTCCTTTTCCCCATCATTCTACCCCATATTCAAACCATCAACAATATACTTAGCTTTTTCTATAATACGTGGAAAGACACTGCCTATGTCCTTCTATCTCCACTGCTATTACGTGGGTCTAGGCACCCTTATTTCTTTCCTGAGTTTGGCTTTCACTTTTGACTGCTCAACCCCTCTCATTCCCCCAGCAGCCAGAGCAAATTTTTAAGAGTGTAAATCAAGTTGTGTTGCATCTTGCTCAAAGCCTTCCACTGGCGTCTATTAGAGTTGGGTATAATACTTTCTCTGTGCACAAAGCAATAGGAAATCAGTTCCAAGCCTCTCTCTCTAATCTCTCCTCCCCAACCCTGTCCCCTGTTTATTGTGCTTTGACCCAATGGCTTCATTTTTGTTTCTGAGAGTCTGGTTTCTGTCCTAGGGACTTTAATCTTGCTGCTTGCTTTGCCTAGACTAGCTACTTCTGGATCTTCCCATGGCCAACCCCTTTCCATCATTCAGGCTTAAGCTCAAATGTCACTTCCTTTCTTGAGAAACCTATTTGAAGCAATCCCCTAACCTCTGTCACTCTTAAAGTGTTACCCAGTTTTAGTTTTATTCTCTTAGTAGTAATAACCTTATAATATTATTCTGTTGCAGACTGCAATTTAAGCTTTGTTGTTCAATATTGTATGAATATATCTAGCACCTGGCTCAGTGAATATCAAGCATACACAAATGCCTAGACAATCTTTCCTTAACCTCATTTGAGCCTTGTAACAGACCTCTGGGTGGACCCTGTTATCACCTCTTTCTAGTGGTTGGTATCTTAATTTTTGTTGTGTTGGGGTTTTTTTTGGTAAGTCAATATTGCATATTTGTAGAAAGAGTACATAGTTCTCATTTTACAGGTGAAGAAATTTCAGGGTTCAGAGAAGCCAAATTACTTTTCCCAACATTATACATTATGTAAATGGCACAGTTGCATCTAAAATATGTATCTTAAAAATTAATTTATCAATTAACTTTCCCCAGCGTTATTGAGGTATAACTGGCAAATATAAATTACATATATTTAAGTTGTACAACATGATGCTGTGATATACATCACTGTGAAGTGATTTAGTCCTGGCTCCTAGCTGTTTGCTATTTCTGTGCTAACCTGTTACTTTCCAACGGCAATTTCCCTAGTAAGAAACTCTGGAAGAAAAATATTGGATGGTATTGAGTCCATTTAGTTAGGTGCTCAGGAATTGAATCAGTTTTTTTTTTTTTTAAACATGTAATCACTGTCTTCTCCAATGAACTTCTTTACTTTCTTGTTGTTCAGACAATTCTAGTGTGGGCTCCATTCATGTCCTAGTGGAAAATGTTGACATAATAAGATTAGAAATGTCATTTTGAAACACCTACTATTGTTTTTGCCTGATATTCTCTTCCTAGGTTCTCTCCACCTGGCCAAATCCTGCTTATGCTTCATTCAGAAATTAGCATGCTTTTGAGTGCAAGGCCTTGTCTTGAAGGTGATATTGAAGAGTATTATATAGCTAGTCTTTGGCTTAATATTTTTCAAGCTCAAATCCAGGCTGTTGCTTGCTAATTCTGTGACTCTGGAAAAGTCTTGTTTTCTCATCTGCTAAAGGCGCATAATAATAATACATACTTCCTAGGATTGTTAGGAGAATTAAACAATAATAATTTGCTAATCTATTATTATACTCGGTGTTGAGTATATACTGAGTATTAAAAAATAATTATTATTACTTTTCACCTTTGTACTTCTAATATTTAAGCAGAGAAGCTAGCATATAGTAAACATTCAAAAATGGTAATTAAAAGAATCCAGGGGCCATGTTATCCTCTGTATCTTTGACAAACTTTAGTAGGTTTATCCCTCTCATCAGTTTCCTTAAACTAAAACAGGAATTGACAATTGTACCTATTGTTTCCCTCTAACATTTGTTATACCTTGCCTAGCCAAACCCACTTCCTACCCTATAGGTATTTGACAGAATTTTCAAATATATGGGTTCTTTCAGCATAAACTATTGTTAAAAGGAAAATGTGTTTTGTTGAGACAGCCTTTGCTTTCTGCTTAGATTTTAAATTGCCAAATTCTAATTTGTAGAATTTGATGACACTCCTCTTAAAAGCTGGTCTTTTTTCCTTAGACCAAATTACCCACCATTAGTCTCTCTCTAGAGCACCTATCTCTTAGTTCTAGCATGCTCTGTTATCTTGTTTCCCTTGTTGATGGAAACATATCATTTTTCAATATTGCTTTTAAGCTAAGAAATTCAAAAGTACACATGGGTTTTAGGAGCCAGGAGAATATGTGCCACACACTGCCTTCTTTTGAGTTTGCTGCTGCTGAAGGGGAAACCCAGCATGTTTTCTGTTTGCTAATTATAAGGGAAGTGACCAGGGAGCCTTTCACAAGTAATGAACTTACCATTTCACAGGCCTATGCTGTTCACCCAGATAGAGAGACTACATTTTTCAAGTTATCAGTTTTAGTGTTGTGCTTGAATGAAACAGAGATACTGATAGATACCTAATCTTGTCAAAATAAAGTTTGACTTTGCTATCTAAGACGTTCATCTAAAAAAAGACAAAAAGAACAGGAGACTTAAATGAATCAACAGGTAATACTTTGTAATACAAATCCCATTTTTTTAAAAACCTCCTTCTGTTTATCAGTCAATGTTGGGTTGATATTATGTGTAGAGTTCTTTTTCTTTATATTCATAGCCTATGTGGAAAGATAGCTTCTCTTTTCAGTTGAACGACACAAGGAGAGTTGCATCAAACATCAGAATAATTATATTGGAGAATCAAGTTTTTAAGATGTGAACAGTGGCATCAGGTAAACAAGAGAACACCCACCCCCGATCTTACCAGAATAACAATTCAGAATAATGAATGCATCTATCAAAATAATTTTATAAGAAGCTCTCTTAACTAATCTGTGCTTATCCTATTTAGCACATCAACTCAATTCTTTCTCTCTAAAACATAGATGACAATGTGCTGCTCACTGCTAGGTTCTGGGCCATTACCTGGTCCTCTCTCACACACTCTCAGAAATGAGTGATGTGCTTACCAAGGCACAGATGTGCTTAGTTCCAATCTTTCTATGTCATTGTACTTACTATACTATATTCTGTAATTTAAGATAATGATTTTTTTGGAAAAGAAATATCATTACTTTTTAAATATTTTTATTTATTTATTTTTATCGTACTTTAAGCTCTGGGGTACATGTGCACATCCTGCAGGACTGTTGTATGGGTACACACATGCCATGGTGGTTTGCTGTCTCCATGCCCCCGCCCCTGTCACCTACATCAAGCATTTCTGCCAGTGTTATCCCTCCCCAACCTCCCCACCCCCCACTGTCCCTCCCCTCCCCTGCCTCCCACCCACCCCCACTGCCTACCCCATGTGTGATGTTCCCCTCCCTGTGTTCTCACTGTTCATCACCTGCCTATGAGTGAAAACATGTGGTGTTTGGTTTTCTGTTCTTATGTCAGTTTACTGAGAATGATGGTTTCCAGATTCATCCATGTCCCTACAAAGGACATGAAGTCATCCTTTTTTATGGCTGCATAGTATTCCATGGTGTATATGTGCCACATTTTCTTTGTCCATTCTATCATTGATGGGCCAACCATTTGGGTTGGTTTCAAGTCTTTGCTGTTATAAATAGTGCCACAATGAACACATGTGCATAGAAATATCATTTCTTTAAAAAAGAAGTCAAATGATTTAAAAATCATTGGTAAAGATGAGTTGATAAAAATAAAATTGCTTTGAATTAGAGGTAAGAACACTTTAGAGAATTAAAAAGGAAATAAAAATTTAGAAGGATGCTTGTTTTATTTCCTTTGTAAGTATTGTCAACCTCTTGCTTTACTTTAAATAAGCCAAAATTATAAATCTTACATGACATGTTATGGTTATGTCATAAGAAGACAGAGTACTCTACCTGTGTATCTATCTATTCAAAGGAACACCTTGAATCTGCATAGAAAGATTGAAGAATGAATGTACACCTATAAATTTTAAGTTAAAATAAAATATCAAGGCGTATATATATATTTTGGAGGTTCTACTTTATCTTTTTCAAATAATTGACTGTCAGAAGGTATCAACCGACCCAGACAAAGAGGGCTTTTACTCTGATCACAAACCTCATGAAACTGAATGTGGGACATGACGTAAGGAGAGGTAAGTTGTTCAGGACCAAGTGATTTCTCTTCCCAAGGTCTCAGTTTCATTTTCTCTGAAATGAAAGGATTGAACCTAATCAACCTGAAAGTTCTTTCTAATTCTAATGTTTTGTGTTTCTGGATACCAATTTGGCCAAAGTAAAGACATTTCCTGTTACCTGTTAGATGGCTTTTCAGTCTCCTGTACTTCTATCAGCTATACTTTTTGAACATGGTATTGGCCCTAGGATATTTATTTGAGTTCATCCTGGTCTCCTGTTAATCATTCAAGATACACTTGTTTGGAAGAGAGATCCAGGTTGAGTTGAGTTTGGTTTAGATCCATATTAGAGCAGGTTACTCCCTTGGTTAAGGTCTTTCAAGAGCTCATCCTTCAATACAGGCCTTCATGCACATTCCTTAGTATGCATCTAAGTTTTTGCATAATCTGGGCTCTGCAGAGTATTTCAGCCTGACTCTATAAACTTTTATTACTGAACTGATTTGATTTTCCTTATTCCAAGGTGCTGTTTATACTTCTGAGACTTCATGCATACTGCTTCCTCTGACTAGAATGTTAATCTGTTTCTTGTTTTTTGCTGGTTAACTTCCATATGTTTTTAAAGACTTAGTTTTGTTGCTTCTTTCTGTAGGGAACTTTACCTGATTACGGAAGTCCAACCCAGGCACTTCTTCTAACGTCTTTCTTAGCAATCTCAGTTTACTACCAACATTTTAATATTCCACAACTTGTCTCTTCCACTAACCTGTAATATCCTAGAAGAAAAAGACTAAATCTATGTTTGTTCCAGAATCTGTACATTTTGCAGCACGGGGAAGTAGTTCAAAAATGTTTGGTCAAATGCACTGTTGTAAACATGGGAGTTTGTAGCTGTTTATGAAAAAAATGTCTAGACTTCATGGCTTAAAACTTTCACTTTGTGCATGAAGAAACTGAGTTCCAGATAATTTCATGGCTTTGCCAATGTTTATTACTAACCCTAGAGGCTACAGTTTGCCCTACTGTGTCTTGTCCTTAGCTTTCCTCTCTGGGATATACAAATTCAAGAGCATCTGGCCCACAAACTCATAGGAGATTATAGCTATTGAATAAGAGATAAAAATTAATATAATGAGAATGGGTACTGGAATGTTTCTACCCCAGCTCAGATTCCAAAAATGAACATAGGCTATGGCCTAGTGAATAAGCCTTTGCCTAATTTATCAAGTAAGCATCCTTCTGTCTATACCCAAGAATAGCCATCACAGGTCATAATTGAGGATATGTCTTGATGTTTCCCTTTAAAGTCTCATCCAGTGCTCATCTTCTCTTGCTATGGGGGTTTGAATCCTTGTGATATATAGCCAATTAGCACTTAAATGTTTTAATCTGGATAAAAATTCTGCTGATATTAACCGCTAGGTATCCTTGAGGTTATTTCAAGTTCAAAGATTCTAACTCTGACTATCCAACTACACCCCAATCCTAAATGGAAAGTTATAAAATGTTTTAGTAGAAGAGAATGAAAGACATTATTGAGTATAGAATTAATCATTAAAAAGGGACTGCTCAAAAGGATATTAAAGGGAGAAAATGATGAGCAAGGCAAGTTTAAAAACATGTAATCCTTACAGGTATATGTTTCTTAAGCTTGGTATTCAGAAAAGTTGGAGATAATTTATTTTTCTAAACTGATACATTTTTGAGAGTGGAAAAGAGGACTGCTAATAAAAGCACAAGCCAAACCAGGACTGCCCTTGTAAAACCAGGACATATGGTTACCCAGAAATACTCACCTCTCTCCAGTTGTAGTTTCGTTGCTTCAAGAATGTTCTAGACAAGCCATGTGCCCAATAGTTGGGCTGAGAGTGTCAGATGAGCTTCTCATTTGGTTTTCTCATACTGTTCTGGTCCTAATACTGCATTACACCAAACTCCTCTCACACAGCTTCTCATTTGCCTTGCCTTTCCCATTGGAAAGATATTTGACATTCTTAGATCTCTACTTCTTGGCTGCATGTGACTTGACTCTTCCATTTGTTATATGATTTCTGACTCCAGTGATTCACACTATTTTTGGTGGCATTCTAGGTTTCAGGGGTTTCATAGATGTTAGATTTTCCTTTAAGTTTTAAAAGATATATTGTCTGCCTATAATTATTTTGGCTGACCCAGGGGATGAGAAAGGCTGTGTGTGAAGATGACTTGCTCCCATCTTCCATTAGAGCAGGTGTCCCTTCTTCCTCTGGCAGAGATTCCTATCACGTCATTGTGGGCATTCATCTCCAATGCTGCCAGCCTGTTCCCAAGCCCCTGGGTATGAGGAGGCAAGGAGCCTGGCGCTGGACCTGTGCTGCAACTACATTATGATGAGTGTCCACCATGCCCTGGGCCTTACTCAATGCTTAGGGAGGATAACCCTGCTTTTACCTGTTTTAAATATTTAGTTTGAAAAGACTTTAACCATTAAATTTGCTTAAAAACCATGACTCTAGCTTACACCTCAGTAATTGACTTTCCTTTTGTTTTAGCGCCCAGGCTCACTCTCTATGTCTGAGGTTGGCAGCTTCTGAAATAACTTCCAATGATCCCTACCTCTGGTATTTATAATCTTGTGTATTCCCTCTCTGTGATTATGGGATGGACCTGGTTGTTTGCTTTTAACAGATAGAATACTACAGCAAAGGCAATAGGGTGTTACTTCCGAGATTAAGGTACAAAAGGCTTGAGTTACTTGAGTCTTGCTACCACGCTCTTTTCCTCTCCCTTGCTCTGATGAAGCCAGTTCCTATATTGTGGGCTGCCCTCAAAGATAACCTCATGAAAAGGAACCAAGAGAAGCCTCAGACCAACAACTCATGAGGAATTGAGACCCTCAGCCCAACAGCCCATGAAGAACTGAATCCTGCCAACAAGATCAGTGAGCTTAGAAGTGAACCTGTCCCCAGGTAAGCCTTGAGATGACTTCAGCCTTGAAAGAAGCCCAAAACCAGAGGATACACCTATGCTGTTCCCACAGTCTTGACCCAAAAAGGCTATGAGATAATAAATGTTTTAAGACACTAAGTTTTGGAGAAATTTGTTACACAGCAACAGATAACTAATACAGTGTCCCATCCAAAAGGTCAATTTCAACCTCAGCCTTGCCCCTTTTTCTTTGGTATCAAGGGAGTGAACAAGTCACAAACATCACACAGACTTCAGAGAACTAAGACTATAACTTGCTCTTTTAAATCCTATATTCAGGTCTGTTCTCTATCCTGTTATTTACATGCAGACCTCCAGTAGTTCCATCAAATCCTTGTGCAAGTATTTAAACAAATTCAAAACTACTGCTTGGGAAAACAACCACCACAGGAACAACAGCCAGATTTTCTCCTTTTGCAGCGTGTTGCCTGTATACAAGTCAGGAAGCAACTTACAGTTGTTCATTTCCTTAGTAAAATACTAGTGATGCTGTTTTCATTTAAGAACTTAAGCATCTTCTTGCAAGCAGTAGCACAGGGCACGTGCGTGGAAGGACTGCAATCTGAATTTGACAGTTAAATATTGCTCATTAAAAGTCCTGCTGAGAAAATTGGTACGCCAGTTTAGAGAAGTTGAACCCTTTATCAGATTTTTAAGGCTTTATCGTGATATCAAAGCATGCCATGAGCTAGCCACCTACTGGAATTGATTACTCTAATTTTTGGTATAAGTGCCTTGACAAAACTGTAATTTAAATTTATTCCCTAAACTTTGAAATAAAGGATGGCCATAAATAGAGTTATAGTGATGAGCTTTTGTTAAATCATTTTCAATGACACCATCAGTTTGTTGTTTACTGTATGTACATTATGATACATTTTTCTCAGTTCAAAAGTATGAAATAGTCATATTTCTCTGGTAAACTGGTATATGTTCTTTTAATAAACACGAAGAAGCATGTAACATATTAACTTTTCCATTTTGCTTTGGTTGCTGGGGAATATGGTTATTTTATGAGCAATTATAGTAGCTACCCTTAGCTTAAGTTTGTTACTACATCTCTTTTTGGCTCTATATTTTAGTACTTGTTTAATTAATTTTCTTTTTATTTGTTTGTGGTTTTATATTGCTTTGAGTCCTTTATATTTCAAACTATCACATTTTGGTAAGTTAGGTGGTGAAGTGCTGCCCCTTTAACATTTGAGAAAAGGTCTTACTAAGTTAAACAAGGAATCAATCAATTCTTTCTCTGTCTCTCCTTTCTTTCTTTCTTTCTTTCTTTCTTTCTTTCTTTCTTTCTTTCTTTCTTTCTTTCTTTCTTTCTTTCTTTCTTCTTTCTTTCTTTCTTTCTTTCTTCTCTTTCTTTCATAGTAAAAACATTTCCACAGAGGATTAAAAACATTCCTTTTAGAATTTTATAACTTAATAAGTAGGTCTCTCTTATTTTTTAAATCCATGTTATTGAGTAAAATCTCACAGCTGAAGGCATGACATCCTGGCTTTGCCAGGGAGAATTGGACCTGGAAGTGAGCCAAGTGAGGCTGCAGCCAGTGCGGGTCCACCTTCTGCACAGAGCAGTGGTGGGAATGGTTATCTTTGGAGGAAAACATGATGGAGGCTGCTGTGTCCAGTTCTGATTCTTTGGTGAGTATTGTTCTTGCTTGGGTAACTCCTTACTTTGTACCTCTGGCCCTGTCAGTGACTCTATGAGTGACCTAGTGTCCTGTAACAAAAGTTTTTTATCTGCTTGGATTTTATTGTGTGCAACTAAGAAACCTGAGAAACACAGGGTTACAAACGCATGTACCTTCAGAGGCTAGTCAAATACCAAAAATGACTGATGTGGGTCAATATAAGCACCAGGGAACAGTGAGACAGAGGGGAGGAGGGAAGTGCATGCCCACCTAAGGGCATTCCAATTCAACATTTCTAAAACATTCTTTTCATCAAAACTAACTTGGTAACATCTATGCTCTAAATTTAGCTTATGAGGCTTCCAGTTTGTGACCTTTGACACCAAATTTTTTTTATTGGAGTTTTAAAAAAAATTTGAATTTAGGAAATTCCTTGCCTGCCATTTTTTAAAATGAAGTTTGCACTTTCCATCTAAATATTTTGCCATCTTAGCAGCATGGTTGTGAATCTGTGGATGCCCTGGAGTTCCTAAGAGATTCTCTTGTACTGATTTGCCTTATGGGGAGGACAATCATGATCCCAAGTAAGGAGAAAGGAATAACCCTGGATGCCGCTGGCTGATAGCAGCAACACTCTTTTTCAGGTGGTCCTTGCTCCTTTATCACAGAGAATAGACTCCCAAGAAAACCCTGTGTTCTAAGTGTCTTTTAATATCCTAAACAGTTCCTGACTTGTAACAGCTTTTAAAGCAGCCACAAAACTGGAAGCCTAGCTAACATTTTCAATCCTGGGATATAGCAGAAATGAAAGTTCTGTGGCAAGTCACGTGTCTGAAAATTGCATTGGAAAGAGTGATCATTAGGAGGACTGTTGGCCCGTTTCCAGAGTGGCAGGTGTCTGGGATGACATTCAGGGGAAACTAATCTATTTCATCCTTCCCCTCAAGAGCTGGTTAGCTTTAGTCCTTAAAGCAGCAAGATTCAGCACCTAACTCTCTGTGTTTCATGCAAAGAGAGGCAGTACTTTAAGCCAACATTTCATTTGTAGTTTGAAAACGGCATTTGGATTGCATTCTGTTTTGTGATTCATGTATACATTGCTGCATTCCTTTTCACCGGAACGCCACATCTACGGGCCTCATTATCTCTAATAGACGTTTTAGCTCTCTCAGGGTTATGTGGTTTCAAAGTATTACAAACTCATTCATGTCATTCTAATTTAAACATGATGTTGTTATTCCTGCATCTATTTTATGAACTACCCTTCTGCTTCCTTTTCTACTTATTGGGTGTTATGGGAAGTGGGAGATAGCATTCCAATCATCTGTGGAGCTAAAAAGTCTGGGTAATTGCATTTGACAAATGTTGAAACCCTATCCCCCAAATACTTGCAACACTTTCTTCCTGACAACAGCAATAATGAAAATGCCATGGTGCTAATGAAGAATTTCTACTACGGTCCCTTGAACATGGTCCAACTAATCATCATCTGGCATACACCGTTCAGATTTCTTGGTATAGCTGTACCCACCAACTGAAGTTAGGTCTCCATTTTTTTCAGGATGACAAAGATATATGTTTTTCTAGACACTTATCCTGGAAGCTTTGAGAAAGAAAAAAAAAGTTGACTGTGAAAATAAAATGATAATGGTTGTGTGTATAAGAAAGTCATCTTAATCTTACATGTTTGCTTCTTAAAGCTCCCACAGACACAAGAAGAGAATGACCATTTGGGTTAATATTTTTCAACAGAGAAAGTGTCGCATCGGAATTATAGATTAGCTGAACTGGGAGAAAGGTTTAGAATCAAGATGTATTTGATTTTGTCACTCCTGGAAGGGAGTTACAAATAGGTGAGATTAAGTGACCTCAGTGGAAAATGTTAATCACTAGTGGCAGATATTTTTTGAAATACATCTTGATTTATTTTTCTTTCTCCTTTCTTCTCTCCCTATCTCTCTTTCTTCTTTCCTTACCTTCTTTTGCGACTCTTGTATTTTCCCCTTGAACTCTTCCTCTATTAATTCTATCTTATAATTTTAAACTGGAAGTGATTTTTTTTTTTGAGATGGAGTCTTGCTCTGTTGCCAGGCTACAGTGCAGTCGTGCAATCTCGGCTCACTGCAACTTCCGCCTCCTGGGTTCAAGCGATTCTTCCGCCTCAGCCTCCCGAGTAGCTAGGACCACAGGTGCATGCCACCACGCCTGGCTAATTTTTTTTTTTTTTTGTATTTTTAGTAGAGACGGAGTTTCACCGTATTGGCCAGGATGGTCTCCATCTCTTGACCTCATGATCCGCCCGCCTCGGCCTCCCAAAGTGCTGGGATTACAGGCAAGAGCCACCGTGGAAGTAATTTTTGTCAACCAGGGCACATTTAGAAATATCTGGAGACATTTTCAGTTGTTACAACTGGAAAGTTTGTAGCTGGCCTCTAGTGGACAGATACCAGGGATGCTGCCAAATATACTACATGCATAGGATGCCCCTACCTGTGCCCATGACATAGGATTTTCTGGTCCAAAATGTCAATAGTGCTAAGCATGAAAAATCCTGTCTGGGTTGATTCTTTCTGGCAAAGAGAAGAGACCAGAGAATACTTGGAAGGAAAAAGGAGACATGATAAGGTACTTCTCAATTATAGAGAAGGATAATGGGAAACAGCTTTAGTACTGAGAGTGGAAATCTGGGGAAAGGGTCTGGGAAGCGTGAGAGGTGAGAGCTGACCTTACCCTGTTAACCTTCCACCAGCATTGGGCCATACCTTGGAAAGGACAGAAGTGTAGCAGATAGAGAACTACCCACACTAGTTTGAAGTGTGGTAAAATCCTAGAGCAGGATTCACGTTTTTTGACCTCTTGGCCTTTGGCCTAGTTTAGAAGACTTCATACTCCTCAGAGATAATCCAAATTCAGCTGGTGTCTTAGCCACTCTGGACCCAAACCCAACTTGTTAGTAGAAGTGGTAGAGGAAGATGCTCAGGCCAGGAAGCCTGAGATAGTGTTCTTGGCTCTCTATAGCCCACACTAGCATAGAGGAGGTCAGGAAATTACTGCGTACCACAGAGGGCTGCTGTAGGTACTGGTTGAAGAGTTCTTTGGGGTTGTTGAGTCAAGGAGTGAGAAGACTCTGAAGTTGAGAGCCTCAGGGCAGACCACCCTTGCTGAGTATTCAGATCCAGACACCCGCCACCCCTGCAGGCAGACCCATGGACCTTGACCACATAGGAGTGACACCAGCCCACACATTCTGCAGCAGCTGTGATGAGCCCTGAAGCCCATTATAAGAAGTAGAGCACCGCAACCCCTACTCCATCTCACCCTACCCTGTGATATAACACAAGCATCACTTTCTATCTAATGTCTGGAGAAAAGAATGAGAACTGAAGGTGGAAGGAACCCAGAAACACCTATTACCTGAAAGTAATTATGTGTTAAACTAGAAGAGACCAGAAGCTTGTAATTAGCAAGTACTTTTTAAGGTTGGCAATAATGAATACTCAAGGGAAAATGAGAGATATAAAGTTAACTTCCTCCCATTTACATTCAACCACACTACATTTTTATTCTGTAGCTGTATGACCTCAGTATCTAGCACTAGTTTCTTTGTCAACACTCTTGTTCACATCCATCATTTCTCCAACCACATTCTCTCTATGATGGAACATCTCACCTTTTGCTAGGTTGGCCACTCACCTGCCTTTGGTCTGTTTCTTCTGTGGATATCGTCAGTGACAAAGGAGCTGTCTCTGTGTTAAGATCACCTTGCCTCAGTGGACAAATTTATCAGTGTCTTGTATGTTCATGAGACCCATGTCCTCTCTCATGAAGTACATGCCACTGCATAGGAGATCCAGCTACATTTCTGAATACACCAGAGCTCCAAAAGGAAACATATGATGCTCTTAAATGAGGAAATTGAGACATGCTTAATAAAGGTCTATTTGAAAAAAACTGTGGATGGCATTAAGGGACATGAACAAGAGACGAAGAAGTGGCCGGGCGTGGTGACTCACGCCTATAATCCCAGCACTTTGGGAGTCCGAGGCGGGTGGATCACAAGGTCAAGACATCAAGATCATCCTGATCAACAAGATGAAACCCTGTCTCTACTAAAAATATAAAAATTAGCTGGGCATGGTGGCACGTGCCTGTAGTCCCAGCAACTGGGGAGGCTGAGGCAGGAGAATTGCTTGAACCCAGGAGGTGGAGCTTGTGGTGAGCCGAAATCATGCCATTGCACTCCAGCCTGGGCAACAAGAGTGAAACTCCGTCTAAAAAAAAAAAAAAAAGGAGAGATGAAGTGTCTCAAAACCAGTAAGTGTAGTCTGAAGGGGAAAGAGCAGGTGGTGGTGTTGGAACCCAGAGACATTTCTAGCTGTAGAAATAATCTTTGGTAGAAGAAAAGAGTCACAGCCAATCTGTGGCCCAGCAGGGAAAAAAATCAGTCAGGAAATATCTTGACCTCAGTCTCTTCATAAGCTTTGATCTCTTCCTGGTAACTCTTTTTGGTCAACTGAACTGGAAAGTAGGAGACAAGGGAGCTCAGTGGATGGAATTCATAGAAATCAGCCTTCTGGGCAGCAGGAGAAGGCTGCAGAGTGTGCCTTTAGGGACAAAAAGAGAATTATTCAAAACAACAATGTTTTTAGATGTTCTTTGGGTCTGCTAGCTTAGAGTTTGGGCTCTGCCATGCATTAGAGCTTGAACAGTTTCTAATTTTTCTATATATTAGTTTCCTAAATTACAGCAATATAATGAACAGCACCTACATCATTTAGTTGCTTTGGGGATTATGGGTAATAATACATGCAAAACACTCATAGCAGTACCAGGCACACAGTAAGTTCTCAGAAAATGTTAGTTGTTGGTTTTCTCTGGTCTTTAGCAAGACAGGTAACAGGGGTTTTTATTTCAGGATGTTGTGCAATCATTCGCTCTTCCTGTGCAGGATGATGCCCAGGGAAATCCTGAATTTGAAGCAGAGCATTAGGTAAACTCTACCCTATAGCA